TTCTCATTGGCCTTAAGACCCATTCAACAAGGGGAAAACCATACCTGGTACTGGAAACCTAGCCAAGCAGCTCACTTTTACTGCTATCTCAGTATTGTTTGATCCTGGATAGGAAATGTGTCCATTCTGTGAGAATGTTCCCATAACATGAGAATAGTAGTATTTCCAAACTCTTTTAAACTATTAATATTCAGAATTTGAAAATAAGAGGTTACTGAAAATACTGTCAGTCTATCTTTATTACTGTTTGTAAATAACTATGAGATTTCATAGTAGCAAATATTATTTTATCTTTAATTTGTATGTGAGACTATGTTATGTCATGTTACCATTTATATGCATCTGACATCACAGGGTCTCTGTGACAACCATGGTCAGCTAAGTAATGATCCATGAGAAGCAAGAACATAATTCAGTTTAACATGACTCTGTAGCCAGTGTTGGTTCAAACTTTGAGAGTCTGACCCTAGGTAGTTTGTTTTAGGCATATTTAAGCACAGAACAATTTGGTGAAAAAATGTTGTGGTGGTTAACAACTCAATCCCATGTGCATGATAAACTTTAAGGAGTAACTACATCATACTTTTTGTAAAGTACATGTGACATCTTCCAGAAAGATGGATTCTATAGATTGACAAGCTCATAATTAGGGTCTTGGAGAGGATCTAGTGTGGTTTTGATCACACAAACAGTGCAAAGGTCACCAGGTTATTAAACACATCTGCTCCCAGCCTTCTGGGCAGAAAAGGGGTTATACATCTCTCCCTTAGAAGAGACAACTCTGTGTGTTTAACAACCCTGGATCCCTTAGTGATTATCTGTAAGCACAAGCTCTTCTGTGCCACCCACATGACTTTAGTTCACTGTAGAAGTGAATATTGCTTTTGTTCCCTCAGGATTTGAATGTTTTGAATTTATATTAAAATACTTTCTGACAAATATTCACATCTGCTTCTCTTTACATGTCTTGTGAAGAGTTTTGCAAACAACTGTAGGCTAAAGCAAGTATTGAAACACAGAAAATCACCTATAAATACTATTGAGTTGTATTTAAATAGCCTAATATTCCATTCTCTTAGAAAGCATAATAGCACTACACACTCTGATTTCAAAATTACCAATTTAAGGACACAGTCTGTTGAAAAACTTGTTATATCTTGAGTATCATTGATAGGATTTATATAAGATGCACAATCACTACAGACTTAATAATGTTTATGTTATCAATGTGAAGAACTCAGCATTATTAGCAAACCAGGTCTTGAAGCCATACTTAAAACAAAGCCACAGCTATGATCTGTGAATTATAGGTTTATTCTTATACTTTGTTTGAGAAATCATCCTTTGCCTGTGATTCATTTTAACCATCCTGTGGTTATCTAAATTTTACTTCTAAAAGGAGAATCATAAAAGTACAACAGTTGCCCTGATTTCTTAACCAATTTTTCTTAGAATAATTAGGGGATTATAATACATTTCAAACATCAAATTTCCATCAATATGCTACAAGGAATTTGGTTGTTAGCTCCTATTGTTGTTTGACCTTAAAAGATGATTTTCATCAAACATTTAAAAGAGCTCCTGGCATATATTAAGTAATAAATGATTGCAGTAACTCATTAGGTTGAAAACATCCAGATGTGCTAACATGTTTGTCTTGTCCAGCACAGCTCCAGGGACAGACCTGGTTGGGATAGCAAAGAAATGAAGAAAGGACAAACAGACACGTAGAAAAGCTGGGATTGGGTGGACTGGACTCTCTGTTGGAGAACCTACATCGCTCCAAAGGTCAGGATGTTTATTATGTATGGTTGAACAGACAGACAGGGCTATTGCATACAGCTGAAGCAAGTAAACAAACAAACAAACGCACACATACACACACACAATCTATCTATCTATCTATCTATCTATCTAGTGTGTGTGTGTGTGTGTGTGTGTGTGTGTGTGTGTGTGTGTGTGTGTAGATATAAGATATACATCTTAATACGGAGATATACTTAATTATCTAGGTAGGATCAGTCTCTAGGGGAATAGCTTTCATTCAATAAACATCTTGAGGAAGAGAAAAAGCTATGGTGCACATTTTCTGCACACACTATCAATGTTAACACATGAACTGGAGAAAGGCTTTGCCGTCCCTCTGAGGCTTACTCAGTGGGTAGGCTTTGTATTTTACCCATGGGTCTGAGTCCTTGGAGTCTTTACAATGGGTGTACCCAATATCAATAGCACATACTCTCTCAGGACTTGACTCACTCAGAAATTCCTCCACACCCCGCAGTTGTTCCTGCCTTTTCTCTTCAGTCTGATCCCGTACCTCAAAGTTCTGATTAGGAAAAGAGGAGAGAGAGGTTAAGCGATCACTTTGGGGCAAAATTTTTAAAAGTCTAGGAACACTCAGGTGCAGAATGAAGGGCTGCTTGTGCCTAGAGTCTGGAGTTAAAGAAAGTCTGGGGTGGAGATATAGGTCCTATTGGTAAGATATTATTACAATCCACAGATGAGAATAAGGTTATACTCAGAGCAAGCCAAGAGGAGAAATAGACACCAGGCTTGGGTTCTGACAGCAGACCTAGCCACCTCCTCATCTCGTAGCTGAACAGTCACACATTTTTTCATCACCATGCAAATGGGTCCATTCTAAGTTTCAAGAACTCAGCTTGTTAGACCAAGTTCTGGTTGTCAGCCCTGTCTGCGATGACTATGATTTCTGCCATAACCTTTATTACATTGTTCTTTAGTTTCCTGGGAGTTTAATTTGCTTTTATTTTCTCCTTTTTACCTTAAATTAGAAGCTTAGATTATTGATTTTCTTTCTTATTTTCAAACGTTAACCACTCAGTGGTATAAATTTCTTACTAATGATTGCTTTCACAGAAGCCCAGAAATTTCTGGAAGTTGTAATTGCACTACCATTTCATTCAAAATATATGTTTTATTATTTCTTTTGAGATTTTTAATGTGACCCACAGGTTATTAAGAAGTGTATTGTCCAATGTATGTGAATCCTTCACTTTCAATTTCTACCACATTCCTGTGTAATCAAAGAGCAGTCTTTTGTGTGCCCTCTAGCCTTCTAAGTTTAGTGAAGTGATTTCTATGGCTTTGAAAGTTGTCTGTCTTCATGAAGAGATAATGTGTCGTGAAGGAGAACGTTTAATTTCTTGTTACTAGATGGAATGCCTGTAGAAGTAGAATATTGTTCAATCAAAATTCTTCGGCAGCACCGGCCTGATGCTGTGCCATTTCTGATAGAGCGGTACTAACATCCACAATCATTACACTAGACTAACTGCCTTTTTGTTTGTTGCCTTTCTTCTTCACTCTGACTTTTTTCTTCTATACTTTTTCAGCCTTTTGTGGCTTTAATTAAACATTGTATTGGATTCCACATTTCCCTTAATATAGGAAAGATTTTCTTTTTAGCTTTAGTCCTGAATTTTGCTCCACTACCAAGCATTACCACACAACTCTTGAGAAGCAGAGTGCCCTGTAACCACAAAGCGTTTTCACACCCTCCCCCCAGCCTCTATGGACTGGTGCCATTGACTTGTCTATAAGCATACATTGTCTATATATACACACATTTTCAAATATAAGAAGGTATACAATAAATTATTTTGACATAATTACTTTGTTCAAAGTATTGTCTGATAGATCAAATAAAGAATTTATGTTTTATCTCATCTTCCCTTATCATATAATCTTCATATCTGTATATAGATCCAAGTAGGACATTTGGTGGCTTTTCTGTTTTTTATCAGCTTACTTGTGATAAGTTGAAATGATTAATGTATTTGAATTTTTTCACATACAAACTGGAAATCATAAATGAGCAATTTTCAGAGAAGCTATTTCATCACCAATGAAAACATAAGTGTGTGCTGACAATCTTGCATATAGAATATTTTCCACATCTTAGTTTTTCAGTTAATACAGAAATATTACAGGATGGATTTGAGATCTTTACTATAACTAATTAATGAATGTTTCACTGTGACTTTATCGTGTATTTTAACAAGTGATAATATCAATATACTTTGGATCTAAAAATTAAATGTGTTGCAATCTTAGGTGGCTCCAGTTACCTAGAAGAACAAATTAAAAGCAGAAGATGAATGTTCTTTATGAATTAAGATCAATAAATCAAAGCTTGTAAGCGATGTTTTCAAAAGACAAAAAAAAAAATCCCTAAAGGCTTTATGTTTGAAAATTATATTTATTTTCCACTGAATTCATTTGTTGAGTGGATTCCTATTTCATGAATTCTGAATGCTGGTTTTAAAATGCTTCTGTCCCCTCCTTGCAAAATAAATTAGATGAAACCATAAATGTGGGGCCCAGATTCAAAGAAGATAACTGTCTGCAAGTCAGGGTGTTTTATAACTGAGGACTAAACAATGTGTCAATGTATTTATGTTTCCTGTACATCAGAGCAAGAGCCAGGGAGGAGAGAGACAGAGAGCCAGGGTGATTTGAGAGTGGCTTCAGGGAATTAGTAGTCCATTACTAGCTTTCAGTGAGCTTTTGATGGAAGTATTGACAACTGTGTTAGGTTCTCAGCCCAAAGAGTAAGAAGTGAGGTAGCTTATATCCAATAGCTCACTGACTATTGATGACTTTTAGATGATTAGCATAGGACATGTTGTTTAAAGTGACATTTCCTAATCTGATTTTCAAACTATCTTCATCCTTCTACTTGATTTGGTCAATGTTTTGAAACAAGAGTGGAGAGTGCTTTTGAAGCTAATTTTTGAATGACTTTGAATTAGCATGGGCAAGTAAATTTATTTTCATTTTAAAGTCTTAGAAGCTTTCTTCCTTAGAATACATTGTGAATGTCTAGTTAGAATGTCTACATATTTTGTGCTCTATTAGACAATGGAATTTCATCACTATGCAGTGCCCAGTGACACCCAGCAGAAAGTACTGGATTAGAAACTGCCTATACTCAAGATTTAAGATGACAAATCAAGTTTTCAGGAATGGTTGCCAAATAATACAATTTTAATTGAAATTCTGTAACAAAATCATTGGTAATAGCAATGAAAACAATAAGCTCCTCCTGGACACTGGTTTCTGAAACACCATTCTCTTCATATAAGGTAGAGAGTTCTTGAGTACTGATTGATTCCATCTAGAGTAGAAAGATGTAGGAATGGAAAACAAAATGAAGTAAATGACAGGGACATTACAAAAGGCCTCAGCAAACAATAAACAAATTGGCAAATAAAAATTAATACATAATAATTAGGAACATAATAACTTAATTGAACAAAGAAATATCCCCTCTCCAGTGAAGTATACTAATTAAAATATATAGATGAAATAATGGGGCTATAAGAGAACTATTAGTAATCATAATTATATTTACATTATGCAAGTTTAACAGATGCTCACTAAAATCAGTAGGTGAAACTTGAAGCAGAAACAGGATGTTCACAAAGCCTCAAGTAGCAAAAGAAAAAGTAGCTTTGCTATAGTGAATTCCCAAGGTGGGCATCACAATGAACATATGTGAAAACAGACACATGTACAAATTGTGGTAGCATGTCAGGCACATCCTCTGTGTAGAAGGCACAGAATCCTGTGGTGTACTTTCCAGGAATCTCTGTGCTGAATGTATGGGAAAAAACAAAACCCAAATCAAAACCAAAGCAGAATGAGGCACATTTGAAAATTTCACTAACCACATGCTTCAGAAGTATCAAGATTATGAAGATGCAACAAAATAATATTTTTCAAAGATTCTGTGAGACTTATGAAATGTAATGCTTACTAGATAGAATATACTTCAACACTTTGAACTTAACCACCAGTTCTTATCTGAGTTACTTCCTGAATCACATTATTTTTAAAATTATATATTTAGGCAACATTCTCTAGAGGAATGTATTTATTATAAAAAACAGTTTCATCACATTGGCTTACACAACAGGGATTTATATCTGAGTATCAGTTACTGCATGATGGATGCCTCTGAGACAGAGACACTTGGAAGAGGACTGAAGGTTGGCAGGAGACAAGGCTTTTCTACAGACCACTTTATGCCATCGCTGTCCTTTGGAAAGGATAGGTCGCTGCCCTTAGTTAATTTCCTGTGGCAATGTTCCCACAGGTATTCTTACAGATGTGCTCCCAGTATGGTTCTAAGTCCATCAAGAAGAGAATCAAAGCCAGCACCCCAATGATGTTACTGAAAGAACAAAGTATAACAACTCTTGCAACCTGACTAAGTTCTGGGTATTAATTCATATTATTGAGCTAAGATTAATTTCTCATAAACCACTTGCTATACTTCTTTGTAATATAATTAACAAAATAAGGAAAGGGAACAGAAATACTTTGGCAGTATTTTGTAACTCTGTTTTAAGTCTAAAATTTTCTCAATAAAACTGTGGAAAAGTATAATAAATTTTACTACAAAATGGGGAGTACATACTATATGAATAACTACAAACTGAAGATTTTGGATAATCATGACAGAAATGGGCCAAACATCAACATGGTCATTACTATAGTATGCTTGTCACTTAATAATCACTATGGAGATTATATAATAGAAAGGTTTCTGTTTTACTTTACAAACGTTTCTGCTTTTTTTTTTTTGTCATTCAAAAGAGACTGTGGATTGATCAGCGATTGCTAAACTGATCTTGTTAACCTCCTAAACTCTAATTCCAGCAAGATGGGAAAGGAAATCTGTAGGATGTTCGGTACAGCTCCATTGTTTGCAGTTTGCTATGTTAAGAGTTAATACACCAAGGCTGGAGGAGGGAAGAGGGGGATCTCTGATTGTGTGTAAAGTGAAAAAAAAATCTTAATAAAAAAAACATAGACAGAAAGCTTAAAACAAATTGAAGAAACAATGAGTTTTCTAACATCTTATCTGTATAGCTTAGAGTACAGATGTAGATAGTCCTAGATTGCATATGTACATTAAAAAATTCCTCAAATTAAAAAAAAAGAGAGAATATACCATTTGTTGAAAATGCTTTCTTTTTTTCATTGTACAGTTTTGGCTTCTTTGTTAAAAATTAGGTGTTCACCCCTGATAAAGCAGGGAGGGGCATGGCCCTGCCTCAACTGAATATACCAGGCTTAGCTTTGGAGGAGGCAATGAGTGATGGGGTGGAAGGTGCGGGGGGAGCAGGAGGAGGGATGAGAGGGGATCTGAGCTTGGTACATAAAATGAATAAAAAAAATTTAAAAGGGAAAAACGAATTAATACATACACACAGAAAGAGTAACATGAGTGTGATAAAATATTATAGCTCTTAGTTCAAGAAAAAAACTACAAATCCGAATGTACAAAATATACATTATTGTGCTATACATGAGACTGCCTCTTCGGGAAGAGAAATAGTAAAGTGATCATTGTTGTGATGTTAAAATCTCTAAATAGAAATTGCCATATTGTTTGCAAAGCCAAAATTTCCGGTTGGCTTATCAATAAGATTGCAATTTCCTTTGGGCTTGCACTGTAGTTCACACAGTCTTCTGTGAGAATCATTCATCTACCAACAAACAGAAGGTAGATTCCTCTGGGAGTATCTAGTCGCTGACGGTTAGGATGATGCTCCTGCCCACGCTTTTTTTCTGGTGAAATGAGTTTAAAATGATCATCAAGGGCAGAAAGGAAAATGAAAGAAACTAGGAAGAGTGAGCTGCTTTGCGGAGGACCTGACGGAATCAGCCCTGCTCTATGGATGGTCCTGTCTGGACCAGTTCTTAGTATCCAGGATGCTCATGGCTGTCATATGTGCACACATTGACTCTTGGACTGCTTTGATGCTGTAGTTCTTTTTCAACCACTGAGAGATTTGGAAAGAGGGCGTGAGCCTTGGTTCAGGACTGAGTCATGGTACATTAGGAACAACCTTGGGAGAAATGATTTTACATATCACCCAGGAAACTGAATATCTGAAGACAGTAGGAGACTTTCAAGTGTGCTGGCATTCTGAGAGGGTGCATAGCAGCTCAGTTCATGGTCACTTTCCCAGGAACTCTAGCCTGGGTTATGCATTGTTCAATTTGGTTAAAGAATTCCTACTTTCTTCAGTATGTATAAGCAATCCTTCGGTTTTGCAGGTGATAAAATGTTCCTTTCTAGAATCATCTGAAACCCAAGAACATTCATGTCCCTTCTTGCTAATTTACAAAGATAATATAATTGTTGTGTGCTGAGATACAGTTGTGGCAGCATATACTGGGTTGGTATGCCAAGTGGTTGATATTCTCATCTAAATGCATTTATCGCCCTGAATGTATGATGGGAAAGGGACATAGAGAGTAAACACTATAGAGATAACCAAAACTTCTGAGTGAGTTAGTAAAAGTTATCCAAACTAGCTTAAATCGGTGCATAGGTGCTATTTCACTTTTCTAGGAAAAATCTACCTATGGAATATTTGACCCCAGTTGCTTCCTGCACTTCCAGGGACACCCTATACACAGTATCATTTTTCTATAAATGCTCACCCAATAGCTTAGTCTTGTTACTAAATTATAGCCAGCAGTTTTTCTGTGTCCTGCCTGGTCCCACAGCTGCTAAGTCCCAAGTAAACACACAGAGGTTTATAGTAATTACACACTGTATGGCCTATGGCTCAGGCTTCTAGCTAGCTAGCTCTTTCATGTTAAATTAACCCATTTCTAATAATCTATATGGTGCCACTTGGCCGTGGTGTTACCAGTCTGTTAGCATCATGTTGCTCTTTGGGCAGTGGGCTGCCATCTCTCTGGACTCCACCCTTCTTTGGCTCCCTCTTCAATTTGAATGTACAGCCTAACCTTGTTCTGCCTTGCCATTGGCTAAACAGCTTTATTTATCAACCAATGAGAGAAACACATATTCACAGCATACAGAAGACATCCCATAGCACTGGGCTACGGGACCATGTGGGACACAGGAAAACTTCTGTTTATATTTGGCATTCCAACGTGGGGCAAAAATTTCCACCTAAAACCTGAGAAAGCTTTAAGTGTTCTAAAATGGAACCCAAAGCAGCTTCCTAGCTCATGTCTCTCATGAGGGACAAAACTTCTGACTATACTAAATAGCTTTTACAACTTAAATTAACCCACATTTATTAATGTACATGTTGCTACATGGCTCAAGGCTTGTTAGCTCATTTTCTACTCTTTCTGCTTCCTCTACATCTGGCTGGTGACTCCACCCTCCTTCCCAGCATTCTCTCAGGCTGGCTCTTCCGACTTACTTCCTCCTGCGTAGATATTGGCCAGTTGACTCTCATCAAACCAATGAGAGGAACACATCTTCCCAGCACACAGAAGGATTATTGCACGCCAGCGTCCTGTCTCCCCTGTCTGGTTTTTGGAGCCAGGCTTGGCAGTGTTGTAGGATGGTTTGTGTTTTAAAAGCTCCTGGCCCAGGGCCTGCTTGGACACTAGCTGCCTCCCTGCCCCTCTTTCCTCTGCCTCCTACACAAGGCTTGCTGTAATCTTCTGCTGCACTGTCATTTGTCCCAGAAGCCCGTGAGGCCTTTCTCACCTGGCGGAATGAAACTTAGAGTTTTTGAGAGATGGAAGCTGGGCTTTTTGACCCTAATTTGCAACCTCGGGTTTTTGTTGGTTGGTCTCACAATGTGTTTCTGTGGTTGTACTTTTCCCCTTCAATAAAGGAAAAATGAAGAACAACCAAACAACCAAAACAAAAACAAAATGAAGAAAACTACTGTTACAAAGTGCAAAACATTTTGTGCTGTAAGATTAGATTTTTCTTTCACCAGAGTGTTTTTCTACTCAAATACCAATCCCAGCCATTGTTGTTAATCACTGACTTAACATTTGATTGATACTTTACATTCCTATTGATGTTCATTGATAGTAACTATCTCTAGAGTTTTATTCCCAGTGGCCGAAAACTTGCTTCAGTTCACATTCTAGAATAATAAGACGACAACAACCAAATCTCAGCAATTACCTGGGTGTGTTTATCAATCATGTGGCTTTTCCCTCTACTGAGGCAGATGCTTTTCTCAGGTCAACTTGGTAATGAACATTTCATTAGTGGTTCACTTAGTCATTCCTCCCAGAGATCTCTCACTAACATGGGGTTTACAGGGTGTCACCTATTCCCTCTCACAGCAAAAAAACCAGCTGACCCTTGTATGTGACCCCGAAGGGAAGGTTTGCAGTACTGAGGGACACTGGCCTGTAGTCAGGACACTGGGCTATATTCCACTACCACCCATGTGACTCATTTCAGCACCTTAAATATTCTTATTTTTAAAATTCAACATTATTTACTGTTTTGGAATCAGTCTCATGATCTCATAATTGCTAAGCAAGTGCTATACCACTAAGTTGAACACCAATCCCCTAAATATCATTTAAAGGATGTCTTCTTTGATCATTACAAAGTGCCACACTGAGTCTGGACCAATAAAGTCCAAAATGAAGATAAATGTCTGGGCACAAACAAAAGGGAAAATACATCTGTAATCAGAGTACATTGGAAACTAGAAGAACCACTGTCATCCATTCTCTTCCCAGTTTTCTTCCATATCCCGTAGTAAGCCACAGTCAAATAATGCAAACTTCCATGTTTATTTCATTTAGTCCTTACTCCTTCTAAAGCAGTTGTTCTCAACTTGTGTGTCATGACCCCTTTGGGCATCAAATGGTCCTTTCTCATAGGTCACCTAACATAATTCGAAAACACAGATTTTTACATTACAATTCACAACAGGAGCAAAATTGAAGTTAAAAAGTATCACCAAAAATAAGTTTATGATTGGGGGTCACCACGACATGTGGGGTTATATTAAAGGATTCCAGGGTCAGGAAGGTTGAGAACCCACTCCTCTAAAGCCTCTCATTTTATACTTTCAAGTACTCATGGCTTCTTTATCCTGATCTACATGGCTTCCTAATTCCTCTAACAATTCACACTGAGCGTGTAGGAGCCCATCCCCAAATCTCTGCCAGAGGATTCTCAATGGGAAGAGAAGTTTGACCTTGGTTGGGTCAACAATAGCTGCCTGCCAACCACTTACCTTATCATCTGGTGTGGTGTGTGTATTGTGGTTTAGATGTAGGTTCTCTCGGTGGACCCATATCTTCTAAATGTGACTCTTGGTGTGAAGGTGATGCCTCTGTGGATCTTTGAGTGATAACGAAAAGTGAAAGGTCTTTAGGAGTCTGCCTTCAGACTGGATTAGGGTATCTTGACAGGCTCTCATTATTTTTCCCTGTGTTTGCTGGCTGCTGAACATTTTCCTGCAATTGCCATCTGGAATGAGGTGACAGAGTCACTAGTGACTCCTCATGGCTGAACCAGTGCTGGTGGCAGGCTCCTGAACCTCCAAAACGGTGTGATAAGTATGTGTCTTCTCTTCAGAGTAGCTTGCCTCTGGTATTTTGCTACAACAATGAATAACTTTGTTACACACTGATTAATAAAGTATATATAAAGGAGTCAACTAAAATCACCAGTTTCCTAGGTAACACTGTAGGTACTGCTGCTTGGTCCATAACATTTGGAAATAGATATCCATAATTCATTGCACTTGAAAGTGGCAGATTTATATGTCTGTTATATTGGCTTTGTACACACTATTTTGCTTCAACATAAAAATAGCAAAGCACCTCAGAATAATTAAGTTTTCACTAACCATATTTTCTTTCCTACTAGAGACAACTTCTTTTAAAGTGAAATTTGCATTTTATTTTACTTTCTAATCATTCATAACTACTCATTAGGCTAAGGTCATCTTCAAGATTACTTTCATGAGAGCTAATAATAGGAAACAAATTTTCTAATAAATTCACAGTCAGCTATATTATATTTGTTCTTCCAAAAATCCTTTATTCTGATGCTTCAGTGAGCATAAAAAATATCTGGCAGATCAAGAACACATTGCTGGGTCCTTCTGTCCAGAGTTTCTCACTGTACAGATATGGGCAGATGTTGAGAAACTGCATGCCTGACAAGTAACAAGGTAAGGCTGATAATGTTGGTTCTGACCTCACACTTTAAGAATCAAAACCCAATTTATCTTTATTGTATTACAACGTATATTAACTAAAGCAAAGTCTTGATTTTGCCATCAGAAGTCGAATCATCAATAACAGGTTACTATGTTCTTTTGCCTACATTATGTTCCTATATTCCGGAAACTCTGGGCTATTAAAATGGAGAGTATGAGAGTATCAAGTCCCATGTTTTCTAAACATGCTCGTTCCATGCTGATCAGCTTAGCTACTGCTTAGGTGCAGTCTTCAACACTATGTCTTCAGTGTACTTTTCTTCCTTAAGAAAAATTTATTCCATTTGTAGTGAAAAGAACCATTTACTTCAAATAGAAGGAAACTAAAATTAATTTAAAATGTTTCTTAATCTTCAAAAGAAATTAATATAAGTGATAACAGGACAGATAGTTACAAGGTTATATATAATGGTACCTTATTTCACAAGAAATAAAATAAAAATGCTTGCTTATGATTCATTCTTAACAACGGGGAATTCTCTCAATGTCACTTTACTTAACATAGAAAAGAGAGTCAACAGTTAAGTTAATTCCATTCTTTTTGTTTCAATATCTGCTTCCCCTGATATTAGAGGTTCAAATACAGTCAGAGGGACAGGTGATCGTAGATGTTTCCTTGGGAAAGTTGTCTATCAACATTTATTTCTTTGACTGTAGTATGAATTGGCTGACTCACTGGTGTTTGACAGCCAACTTCTACAGCCACCTCCACAATGGTTTTGGTTTTCTCTTCCAGACTACCATTCCTTATAAAGGAAAATGACATTATTGATGTTTTTGTGATGCTTGCAAATGCCTTCCTTGGTAGAGCTGGCAACAATTAGACTCTTCTTAGATATAAAGGTTCAATGTAGTTGAAAATGTGAATAAAGTTCATAGAACTATTCTCAAATCTCTATGTCCTATGTTATTAGTTACAAGTATCTACTAGGTTCTGAATAGAATGAATTTATAAAAGACCTTTCAAATCTCCCTAACTATATGAGTGCCTGATGGTTACTTCATTTTTATAATTCAGAAGCAGAAATGCAGAGATTGAAATGACTTGTCAAACACAAATATCAAGCAATGCCCTAGTTAAGACTGGTCCAATCTTCTGTCTCAGGCCATCGGATGGGAACCGGGAGTCAAGCAAGAATTCTGCTTCCCTTGGGTGATCCCCTATCTCCAAACAGTCCAGCTCTCCACAGGCACTGCCTAAAAGACAACATTTCTGCAATTTTTCTACCTGTTGGTCTAGAGATTGTCAAGAGGTCCAGTGTTGAGAATATTATTTAAAAGTGTGTTGTATTTTCCCTTCTGCTTTTGTTAACAATGCAAAGATGTGTTATATTTGTTTGATTAAATAAAATTAACCTGTGAGCAGGAGGCTGAGTCAGCAAGTAGCTGACAGGAAGTAGTCGGGAGGAAGCATGTATACCCAGGGTTCTAAAGTGGGGACTAAGCAGAATGGCGGTTGGGTTTCTTTTTTTTTTGAAGACACAGACAAAGGGAGATTAGTTACCTGCTATTCAACCTCTCTGAGTGGGCTGAATCCCACCTTAACCTTTCAACCGGGAGTTCTTTGGAGAGATGGATATCTAGATAAAGTTTTTCTTAGTAGCTTTGAAAGAGTCAGTGCCTGAGAGAACGGAATTTCCTCCGGCTGTGGCCCTTGCAGCCAAATGGCTGCTGGTAGCAGAGGAGTTGCAATCTCCGATTAAGAAGATAGCAGTTGCTTAAGAAGCAGCCACTGTAAATAATAAAAAAGAGTTAACAACAGTCCAGTGCCTACTCTCTTCACCCTGGCTTTGTTGTGCACCTACCTCTCCCTAGGTGTTGCCTAAACGACCCATTTTCTCAAACTTTTCCACCTGCCAATCTGGAGAACGGTCAGGCGGCTTAGTGCCTGCTGCAGTGCCTATGCTATGAGGGTGGTACTAGTTAGTATCTTGCTCTTCACAACCAGGGGACCTGGCCGATGATTATAAATACATAAATTTTATAGATGTAAAACAAGCATCTCTCTTCTCACCAATACAACCACTTATCACGTAAGTAAAGGCACAATAAAAAAGTATCATTAATATCTAGAATAATTGACTTAGTATGCAAAATTAGCAAACACATCACAATCAAACTTGTAAATGGAAAAATCCACATGAAAGTGTTATTATATGTGTGTATATACGTGTGTATGTGTGTGTATGCACCAACATGCATTTAGATTGTAAGATGATTTGAAAGGAATGCTAAGGCCCAATAGGTCTAAGATCTTTAACATAAGCCTCTCAAGGTGCCTAAATACTGTCAGTAACCCTCAGTTCTATGGAGTTTAATAGACTATAACCATCTGATGCTGTCCTCTGATGTGAGAAGAATTACAGGTCTACTATACTCTATCTCAATATCTGCAAATCACCATAATGCTGTTACCTGTTTCTACTATGCAAGGACAATATGGCCAGGCCCATGGGCTACCCATATAGACTGCAATGATATTCCCTGGAAGCTGTAGACCAGAGACAGCCTAACAAAATTAAGGCAGACTTCTTACCATATTCTCCCTCCAAGTCAGCCGGGGACTGAGCTAGGTGCTATGAGAAGTGTCTTTTGATGGAAAGAATTTCAAGTCTGTACTCGTGATGTATGTGTTGGTTGTTCAAATGTATGAAACAGGTTTCAAATTCAAAGCCAAAGAAGACTCCCTAGACCAAGACATTTAGGAGCATCCAAGTTTCTCTGGGGAGTTCCAACACTAGTGCTATTGCATTAGTCTGAGACCCTGACTTTGTTTCATGAGGTGATGCAGTCCAAATGACCCAGCTCTGTCAAGCCACCGGAAGAACATAAGAATAGACAGCCCTACAGTCAGTGGACAGTGACTGTTTTCCTCAGACTCAGTGATTTTTGTCAGGATTAAGTTGCAATACAAAGTGCTGATAGTAGTATAAGCACAACTGATAAGGTTTATGCCTGGACATTGTCTTACCTGTAATGGACTCAGAACTTTGAAAAAAAAAACCTTAAATTTCTTTTGTTATTTTTCTTCATTCTCTTAGTACTGTGCAGTAAGTATTATGCTTTTCCCTTTTTAGGATATCGACAGTAATTGAAGCTAAAAGGCATTACATTTTACAGCCAAGCTGACATGGCTCTGAGGCAGTTTCATTTGCTAAAACACAACGTGGTATCAGCCTTCACAATGTCTATTGCAGAGTCTGCCAGGGTGGCCTCAATTGCAGTTCTTGGGAGAATCTGCATATCACCAGTCAAGGAAAAATAAATAAATAAATAATGTCGGGACACGACATTAACATATGGTTTGAAAATGACTGGAAACAGCCCACAGGTGGGGAAGGATGATAACAAAAGTCTTCTTCCAAAGCATACTTTCTAGAAAGTTGTCATTATGATAAATAGAAGGAAACCTAGGATGCTGTGGACAACTGTTCTAAATAAAACAAAACAACAGAGTGCAGGACAATCAGATTCTACACAGACTGGTGATTACTAGGCCAGAGTTCCCAATCCAGCAGGGGATTTCTTCAGACCGACAACTGAAAACTTTAGAGAGTTTTCCGAATGAGCCAATTGTGTGACCACAAGGGCAGGAGGTGAAGTTTATGAGAAATGGCAGGAGGGGCAGAAGCGTGTCAACCGAGCCTGGAGCACAGAGAGTGGCAGCCACACACTCCTTCCACATCACAGCCATAGACCAAAATACAATGCCACTGCCCACCCTCCAGACTTCAAGTAGAGGACCTCAGAATTTGCTCACACCTACACCAGTGTATTCAATAAGGCAAAGAAAGGAAAAAAAAATCATCAAGTAGGTTAAAAAGAAAAAAAGAAAAAAAAATCCACCCAAAACTCATCTCTTTCAATGCATTGCCAGGGACTACACATTGACTTTGGAAATGAGACACTTTTACAATTTGCCTCTAATTTCATTCAATCTGTGTGGTTTCCCCCTCTCAATTCCAGATACAATAACTGTCAGTTTTTGAAGACAGGTTTTCATAACGGAGCATGTTGTGACAAAGATGGCGAGACTCTTGTCCTGTTGTGAAATTGGCAGCGTCTTCCTGTGAAATTGTTTCTACAAGTGAATGTCGAGTTAGTCTGGGAATGATCTGAACCAGTGTTGGGATTCTTGATCACTGCTCCTTCCTTGACTCACCTGAGTTCACAGGATTTCTAGTGTGGTGGAGCTGTATAAATTGCTTCTAACCTTTCTCATTTGGTAAAATCATTCTGAGGTAGACACTGGGAACAAGCAGACCGTGAAGATTACAACAGACAGTGAAGGAAAATGCAGTCACATCTTCCTGCAGGATTGGGCTATGTCAGAGGACCAACGAGTTAGTGCATTGAGCAATTGTGCTTTGAGAAGGGCAGAGTTGTCATAGTTTCTTATCTCCCTAGTTACAAGTCTACATGGTAGAAAAGAAATTTCACAGAAAGGATAGCCGAGGGAACAGGAAACCTTGCTCAGATGAAGGGTATCAGGGAATGTGAAATGCCCCTCTGCCTTATTTTCCAACTACCTCCTCACCCAAACCCATATTTCACTCAGTTACTTTCAAGTGCCCATAATCCCTATAAATATGTAACACTGTATTATAATTGTACTATACATGTGTCCCACACTAGTACAGTACTGATTGTACTAAATTGTACAGTACAATACTGATTGTACTAAAATGGAAAGTAATAGAGCTTTAAATATGCTTGATACATTGCTGTGGATATTGCTCTATATAAATAAAACACTGATGGCCAGTGACCAGGCAGGAAGTAGGTTGCCAAGCAGGAAGTAGGTAGGACAAGGAGAGAGGAGAATTCTGGGGAGCAGAAGACTGAGGGGGGAGACACGGCAGCCACCACCAGGACAAGCAGCATGTAAAGACTCTGGTAAGCCACCAGCCACGTGGCAAGGTATAGATTTATAAAAATGGGTTAATTTAAGATAAAAGAAGAGTTAGCAAGAAGCCTGCCATGGCCATACAGTTTATAAGTGATATAAGCGTCTGAGTGATTATTTTATACATGGATTGTGGGACTACGGGGCTTGGGGAACCTGGAGAGAAGCCCTCCAGCAACAATACATCCTAGTAGCTGAAGAGAAATGAGTAAGTTTTGAAGGAAATAACATCAAAGAATTATATAAAGGGTAATCAATATTGCACTACCCCTGTGATGGCTACAATATCTTCTGTCACTTCAACTTTATAAATAATGGCCTTGAAAGACAATTTAAAGTGTTCCTTAAGAATCACTAAAGAAATGCTATAACCTTTTCATTAAAATTTTGTTTTCAATTCATTCATTTTACTTGAAAAGATTTCCTCTGATAAGATGGTTTGTGGACCAAGACTTCAGGCTCCATTTCTGCCCTTTAGTACCTATTGAAGAGTTTTATACCTTGAAATAGATTATAATACAGTATTACATATTATATTATAATAGATGTTGTAATAGATTATACTATTGAGAATTATAATACTTACAGTGGCTTATGCTTGCCTTAAATAAAGGATGAATTATCACTTAGTCCCTCCTAATCTATGCTGGAGTATTTGATGTTTTCATCTTGTGCAGGTAACCACAGCTGTTGTTGTTTCGTGTATGTAACAGCAGAAACATGCCCAGAAGGTAACATTTCTCAGCACTCTTTCCTATGGTCCAGCTCTTACATTCTTTTGTATTCTCTTCTGTGATATTCTCTTACTTTTGATGGAATTGAGTAGGAGGGTTGATAGAAATATCTGCTTTATTACTTAGTAATCATTCCCCTATTCTCAGCACTTTGATCCATTTGGCAACATTGCATTGACTGCTGTCCACTGCAAAAAAAAAAAAAAAAAGAGAACATCTGGGTTGAGAACAGCCCAGATGTATGGGCAATTTGACAACATCACCATGCAGCAAAATAATATTTTCAGCTTCTACCCTGTGACCTCCCTAGCCATGGAATCCCTAACCAGGATTACAGTACCAGACACAAAATTTCTTCCTATGGAGCAGGCCTCAGATCCAATCAGAAAGAAGTTAATTACCATATAATGGCCATGCCACCATTACCAGTGGGTCCATCACGCCTGGCAGGTCAGTATTGTCACATGCAGGGTCCCACACTAGAAAAGGCCATCGTTATTTTTCTCCCTGAAGTCTCATAGAACCTTCATACACTATGAAAGTTAGTCAGTATGGAGGCAAGTTCCCCGTGGGTTTGAGATTAAAGTTTTAATAATGTCTTTTAGCCAAAGTATATCAATATGATCTTAGATGTAGTTATGGAGTAACCATGGGCAATGAGAATACATTAAAGTCTCAAGTTCAGTCAGGAATGATGAAGTCTATTACTTGTACTTCTGTTTTCCTGTTTGTAATAAGATATTTTAGGTACAATATTTTATCAAGCCTTGTAAAATAAGCTATGGCTCTTTAAGAAAAAAAGTGAAGTATTGGTTCTATAGTGAAGCCTTTCTTAGTGCAATTTATTGTTCTGTTACCTGGCCAATAATAGCATTTAGAATTTCAGTGACCTCACAGGAATTATAAAAGCTACCAACAGCTTCCACTTTCAAACTGAAGGTAGTATTTCAGGGGAAATTGTGATGGGTCAAATAGACTTGCAGGATATTTGAACTGGAATATGATTTTGTACCAGTGATCTTGGAAGAGAAATAAAAGTAATTCAGATGATCTTTCCTAGAAGTTGTTTTACTGTTGGTTCTAACTGACATGTACAATACTCATACAATGTATGAGAATGCATAATTGATTCTTTGACTTAAATTTACCAATAGATTCCTTAAAGTGGAAGCACATTCAAGTGAGACTGCTTTTCCCCAATCATTGGGCCTTCTGCATCAATAGCTGAGATCTGCTCCCTGAAGGGTCTTCACAGCCCCACGTTGCAATGGAATCTCTAGGGAAGAACAGCATAGTCAGAACCAAGAGATGGAATGTTATTTTTACTTTGGACACAAAATCAGTTGTGTGATCCTAAGCATTAATCCAATGCTCTGTGTTTTTGTTTTTGTGTTACTGTTTGTTTGTTTTCATATGTTAAATGAGAAAGGTGGACAGGGCAGTTGCACACACATGATTCATAAAGTACCAGAGATGAAACTGATCATCATCCTCAGGGGGAGGAATTTGCTTCACAAATGGAAGAACTGAGCTCCAGGGGGACTTAGTCTGAAGTTCAATTGGCTTGGGACAGAGGAGAAAGTAAAACTCAGGTATCTAGATTTTTAAGCCAATGCTTGCTTCCGTATAGTGAATGTTAGAGATATTACTTTCAATGTTTGAGTTAGTACTCAAAGAGTACAAGTTATTTTAAGAGTTAAGGATTAAATAAATATATAACTATATAAATATGTTCACCATATATTCATTATGCTAATAGAAAATGAAATTATGTATTTTATAATATATATATAATGTTTTAATTTTATATATTAATTTAATATAACAGTATTACCCAGATCATTAGCATAGAAAGATTAATTTGGTACATTTCAGAGTTTGAAATTCATGTTTGCATTTCTCAGAAATTTGATCTCATAGAAGTCTTTCAATGCAAAAATTCAGTAGTCAATATTTGTTCATGATTGCTTGACAACAAATTTCAACCATTGAACATAGTACCAGTATTGCTTAAAAATAAACTACCTTCGAAAAAGTCTATGCCAATTACAAGTTCTCCTCTAGTAGATATTTCCAAAAGGTGCAGAAAATGTAACCTGTAAAAGAAGGTATGGAGACATGACTCATAACTGGCTTCTTAAGCCCCCAGGGGATCTTATTAACTTGGAGAATTCACCACAGCTTTGGAAAAGTGATTTGTCAAACCCTTGTAATTCTCATGTCACTAAGAAACTGTCAGAACTTGGCCACATTAAAGGAAAGGATATATGAAACCCCCAAATTTTATCAATTTTAACTAAAACATAATTTTTGAGGAGACTGAAGCCTTTGGTTAGCTTATTCTCTCTATATGTAAGACATTGGTATAGTAAGTTTTTAATTTTAACTTTGCTTTCACAAATGCAAATCCAGATCCAGGGTAGATAATAAGGCACTGCATGCTTAGCAATGCCATCTGAGGTACCAAGAATTGCCTCGAACACCTCACTTTTTGCTTAGAGTATAGATCCCCTATTCACCAATGGATATAATCTCTGACATCCTGTCCTTTATAAATATGATATACATTGTTGATTAAAATAAATTTGCCCTAGAAATGGTCCATAAGATATCTAACAAAAACAAGGATTCAGAATACATCGTTTCAAAATCCTACACTGATAAATAGTTCCCCCTCTGGTCCCCCCAACTGTTACTCTTAAAGGACTGACTGAGGTATGGAGCCAATAAGTACACCATACCAGTTGGATGTGGTACTCTATGGGACAGTAGATTCCAAGCAATCCAGACACATAACAGTACTTCCAGCTCCCTGTTCAGCCATCTTGGTGCAAACTATTACCTAAGAAGGTCCAGAGGCTTTGGAAATACAGTTCACTTTTTCTTCTACTCATTCCAAAAGATCATAATTTCAAGCATTCTTTTCTTTAATTAAGAAAATTTTTATTCTTTTTACATACCAAAGATCCCCCTCTTCCCTTCTTGTGCCCCTCCAACCTCCTGCTTGCAACCCACCCCCCATTCCCTCCTACAAGAAGGTAAGGCCTCCCATGGGGAGATACATTTAGTGGAGTCATTCTTAATGTTCACAGTGGTGAGAGAATACAGTTGTTGTAGAAACTTATAATGGCCATGCCCCTGAGTTTCCAAAGTGCACCACTAACACCAAGGAACACCAGGTAACACTAGATTGCTATGATTTTCCAGATTCTTAAAACTTCTTTGGCAATTCATTTTTCCGTCTCTTCCTCTCAGGACTGTCACTTCTCATTTTTATCCTTACAGTTTCCTGTAGCAACAATCCGCCGATTTCTCACAGACTGAGCCTAATTTAAATCTACTCAGAGAAGAAAAACCTAGCCAATCTGTGGCTATATATGTAAAATAATGATGAATAAATTTCAAATCATGGCCTAAGGGATATTTTATGGATAAAGGGACATAAATTTAGAGCATGTACATTGTGACTCATATGTTTTCTATTCTGCACATACGTAATGGTGTATTTATGTATTAAGTATATTTTAATTAGAGTCATGATCATCCCTGTGTGCATCTCAATTGTGCTTCATAGTTTTGAGAAGGTTACACCTGGTAGACTGCAAAGCCACGTGACTCAGAAGTAAGTTGTCTTTAGATAGGACAGAAATGAATTCGTTTACAATTTAGGAAAATTTAGGAAATCTTGGAAAGTAGTTGTGATGTTTTCCTCCTTGGCAGCCTTGAAAATAACCATGGAAAACATCTCTGGGCACAGCTGTGAGAAGAGACGCATTGTAAATGTTGGTAGCACCTTTCCATGGACAGGGGTTTCAAACAGAATGGAAAGGAGAAGGAGCAGAGCAACAGGTGTCCATCACGCTCTACTTCCTGACCACACAGTGTGACCAGCTCACTGGTGGGAGCCTGGCTTCCCACTACCCACTGCACTGTATCCTCACACTGGCAGCGAAAGGAAACTCTTCTGTCTTAACTTGCTTTGACCAAGTTCTTGGTCATAAGAACAAGTCAAGGAACTGAATTATAGTGTACTTAACATTTAAAAGCCAGCAATTTCAAACATGAAGCCAAACGCCCAGACTTACATAAAAATAGAATGTCTGTCATCGCTAGAGCTATGTACATTTAAACTATAGCCTCAGCTATGGAAACAGAATATGAGAACTAAAAAGAAGCAGCTTTATCTACTTATTTATTTATTTATTTATTTATTTATTTATTTATTTATTTGTTTGTTTTTGAGACAGGGTTTCTCTGTGTAGTTTTGGTGTCTGTCCTGGGTCTCGCTCTGTAGCCCAGGCTGGCCTTGAATTCACACAGATCCGCCTGGCTCTGCCTCCCGAGTGCTGGGATTAAAGGCGTGCTTCACAGAAGCAGGTTTCTATAGCTAATGTTGGGGTTTGAGTCAAACTGTGCTCTCTCTACTGCTATGCTGCAGAGCAAGTTCTCACTCTCTCAGCCTTCATAGAGAGGAGGGAGAGAGGTAAACAGAGGAGATGGGAGAGGTAGGTAAGATAACAATATGCATGGTGAAAAAAACTACAAGGACTCATACTGAATTATTTACTTAAAAAAATCCATAATGCACATCACTCAGTGTACAAATAAACATATATGGCTTTAATGAACTGGTCTCATCTGAGCTAATGGTATTCTCTCCCTATATATATGATTTCAAATTTAAGTATCACTTGCAGTAACATGACCAAAATTCCACTCTACAAAAAAAAAAAAAAAAAAAAAAAAGGAAAGCTTTAAATAAAAACTCAGCACTGAACCTTCTGGAATTATATGTAATTATCAGACTATATGATAATGTACACTTTAAAGAATTAAAGAATAAAGAAAGAAGTATATACTTTCAACAACATATACTTATTTCATTTAACCAATGTTAACATAGGACCGATTACATCAGGCATGTTTTTTGGTTGCTTAGGTTACAAAATGTAACAATCTCCCTTTGCTGGGATTTATATTCTAGTTGTAAGTGACAGATGCACAGGAAAATAAGCAAAATATGTTCCGTGGTGAAATTTGCTAGGAAGACAAGTAGAGGAGGGAGGAAAGAGGGTATGAGCTCATCAGTACATTCAGAATCACAGGAAAATATATGAGACAGAAAGAATAAAGGAAGCAGTTCTGTTATATACCTAGGGGAAGAATGTGACAAAAAAAAAAAAAAAAAAAACTAAAAATGGAAAGGGGTTTCTGTGAAACTGTAAGAAATCCTGTATGCTTGTGTGCTGTGATTTGATAGGAAGACTTTCCTACAATGATAGCTCATTAGTAGGTAATGGAGAACCCAGAGGTGCATGTTGGTAGAAAGTCTTTAGGTCTTCAAAAGCATGCACTTGAAATGTATGGAGTGGTCCAAATTTTCCCTCTTCTCTTTCTTTGCTACTTGTCCATAACTATATCTGAGTAGCTTCAACATATGTTCCTGCCAGGATGAGCTGCTTCAACACAGAACTGGAGACACCAAGAGTAACCAGGCATGAAACCATGAGACCAAATTAATGGTTACTCTCTCAAGTATTTGTCATCATAGTGAAAAACTGACAGCCATGGAGCAAGAGTGGGAGGACCAGTGGAATAAAGAGAGGAAGGCAAGGAGGTCATGCCAGGATAGCAGAGTGAAAATCAACAAAACACTGAGAAGGTAACACAAAGAAGCTTATTAGAATTTCTGAACAAAGCGTGGGATTGCTAAGACACACAGCTTGAACAGGCTGCGGATGAGACAAAGTTGAAGAGGGAAATACAAAGTGCCATTGAAGTAAAGCAGAAAACAGATGTAAAACACAATAGATCATAATTGTGAAAGCCAGCCTAACATACTTGAAAAATATGATAGAAGTCCTGTATATTTCTAGTAGGATTTCCAAAGTAGAGAATGAGACTGGAGAGAGGCAATATTTGAAATGAGACTAAATTAGAATTTTTTAGAGCTTTAAAAATTCATGATACTTCAGATACTCATTGGATTCTGAGAAGAATAAATAGAAGTAAATATACATCCTGCCATAATATAGGTAAATTTCAGAACATTACAGCTCAAAACACTTTAAAACGCCTAGGAAGTGGGAGCCAGTGGTATAGCTCTGTGGGAGAGCATGTGCTTAGCATAAAGGAGCCCTGGAATGTTGTTAAACACAAAACTAACTTGACAAAAGAGAAAAAAAGAAAGGAAGGAAGGAAGGAAGGAAGGAAGGAAGGAAGGAAGGAAGGAAGGAAGGAAGGAAGGAAGGAAGGAAGGAGAGAAGAACATCGAAGTGGCAAGTCCTTCCTGTCAGAACTTTCCGTTTTATCTGTTTAATTCACTGTCACATCAGAAAGCATTCACAAAGGCTACTCTTACAAGATGAAGCACTTTGAAAGTCCTCATCAGCATGTTGAAAGCTTTTCCTTAAAAGGCAGTTTTATCATGAGCCTCTTGTGAAAAACTGAAAGCAAACCGTGAGGTTTCTTTTTCATTACCTCAATTGTCTTATTCTAAGCTTTTTGGTGTTGAGAAGAAAGAAGCAAAGGACAGCAAGAGGAGAAAATAGTCCTAGTTGTTTCTTTTCCTTTTTTTTTTTTTTTTTTTTTTTTTTTTTTTTTTTTTTTTTTTTTTTTTTTTGGTTTTTTTTTTTTTGTTGTTGTTGTTGTTGTTGGTTTTTCGAGACAGGGTTTCTCTGTGTAGTTCATGCCTGTCCTAGATCTCGCTCTGAAGACCAGGCTGGCCTTGAACTCACAGAGATCCACCTGGCTCTGCCTCCCAAGTGCTGGGATTAAAGGCGTGTACCACTGCCACCGGGCCTAGTTGTTTCTTGATGCTTACAAACGGATGGCTGATTTTCCAGGCGGGAAGTATCTAAAATTTATCAGTTTTTCTTTATGTGAATATTGTTTGCAATTTTCACTTAGAGTTGTCATGGATAGTGTCATCTTGGGTGGGCTGATCTGGAGATTTTATCTATTCATGTTTGCATGTTTGGGGAGAAAAAACAGATTACCATCTACATAGAAAAACAATGTCACTTTCCACAATATGGCATCATCTTTCATTTCCTGTGATAATATAGTCCTGCAGAAGGCCATATACATCAGTAACTTTTCTTTTTGTTTTGATAAAAGACCTTACAAAAGCAATTGCAGGGATGAGTTGTTTGTTTAGGTTCACAATTTGAGGAGATGGTCATCATAACTGTGAGTTTATGAGGAAGCTAGCCACAGAACATCCAGTCAGGAAGATGAGAGTAATGAATGCTATGTTCATCTCTCTTATTCCTTTGCATGCAGCCTAAGATCCTACTCAAATAATGGTGCCACTGCCATGTAGGATAGGTCTTCCCACCTAAAGTCACCAAATCTACATCAATCACTAGCATGCTCAGTGAGTTTCTCCTCAATAGTTTTAGACCCTTTCAAATTTATAATCTTTATTAATTATCACACCAGGTATATGACTATTTCAAATTGTGAGGATGTTTATTATTTAAAACAGTTACCCCTTTCAATCACAACTTGATACATACTTCAAAACAATCAAAATCAATGACATTTCCTTCATCGTTCAGACTGCTTACCATGAAGTCACACCAATGTGAAGTAAATGCTTTCTGTAAGAAAAAATAGCAGACATCTTGAATCAGTACCTGTCCCAGGCTGGTGATCAGGAAGCTGAGAAGTTGGACAGAGTGATGAAGAGATGGTAGGACGCAGGGTCTAATGTGACCTGAAGCTAAAGCACAGCCATTACACCGACTAATAAAGACAGTTTTAAGATGAAGTTGCTAAACACATCAAGATATGAACGCAAAATACTAAAGCCTAAACACAAGTCCCCATTGTTGCATGCAACCTTTGAGCTACTGCACTAGCCACAAACCCTGGAAGCTAGCTTTAGGCATGAGCTTGTGATAACAGAGCATGGCTTCAACAGGGCAATTCCTCCTAAGAAGAGTGGAAGTGATGACTTACAATGAAACACATAATCAAGAGCTTGTGCTACAAGCATGACTTGGCTCTGCTGCAAGAACGGCTCACTAATAACTCATTAATAACAACAGTTCCTTCAGACTGGGACAGGGGCAGAGAAGAAATTAATATGAGTCTTATTCTCTTTATCATTTACTTATTCAGAGATAGAAGCTGTTGGTTTTAGAGGTAGTACATCTGAATCTCAAAATTTTAGCCCTTTCTTTATATTCTTATCTAATTTTCTAAACAAGTCTATGAATAAATACATTGTGTGTTTTTTTACTTTTGGTTGTCAAATCCAAAGTGAAGCATATATTCTTGTAATACAAAAGATGAGACAAAGTAAGTAGCTGTTTCAGGAAACAAATGTTCAACATTCTTGCTTATTGGGATGCCTTTTTCTTATCAGAGGTAAAGTGAACACTCTCACTTCATGGTATTTAGCTTTCCAAGATTATCATGCCACATTTTAATACCTAATAACAATCACTCCCACATACACACTTTAAAAAGCTCACCCAAGTACCACATTAGACCTTAAGGCCCATAACAACTTTTGAAGCAAATATTCTTTTTGTGTACTAACAAATTTTCATAACTCCTGCCACCAGTTCCATTCACTATTGCAACACGTAGACTGCCCCTCTCCAGGCAAAGGCATTAAACTCACATTGGCAATCTATCTGAAAACCCACATGACTTAAGCTCTATTTTGATGACCATCTCTTCAAATAGGGATCTAGACTCACTTTGCCAACTCTACCAGCACTTGTTGTCATAGGAAAGATCCTCAACACTTCTGACTAAATCCTTAAATTTAGCTCTGAAAATATTCTCACTCTACAGAAGTCTTATTCCTGGACTTAGGAACCTCATTTAGCTCAAGCTGGGCTAGGACAACTTTGATGCCCCATTATAATATCAATACTAATTTTCTCAAAGACAGAACCTTAAGCCTTATACAGCTGGACTAGCACATGATAGGAAACAGCTTCAAAGGCCTGTTCCACAAAATGGCAATGCGACTTCCATACCAAGAAACACAACCTTATTCCAGATACCAAGGCCCCACTGAAGATACACAATTATGAATAACTGAAAGAATGAGTCTCTTAAAAATTAGTACTCCCTTAGTAGTGTTTCACAAGTGTGGCTTGGATAATAAGCAAGCCAATGTATTCAAAACAGCAGTAATAAACATGATCAGGGAACTCAGAGGATAAATGAATAAAGAACATCATGAAGACGGTGAAAATACAAACCATTGAATGAAATAATAAAACCAATCCAAGATATAAAAATAGAAGATAATAAGAAATATGATCTCTAGAGAAAAGAATAATTAAATAAAATTTAAAATGAAAAATTTAGGAATGTATACAGAAAATGTATAGTAAAACCTCACCAAAGAGTAGATCAAGTAGAAGAAATGATATCAGGTTTGAAGACAAAGTAGAGGAATTTGATCACTCAAAATGTCAAATACAAAAAAGACTCAAGAACAGAGCATGCAGTAACTCTGGGACACTACAAAAAGACCCAACCAATAAATCACAGGTAACGGTCAAAGGCACAGAAAAAAAATTTTTAACAGTATCATAGGAAAACATTCCACAATTCAAGGAAAGAGATCCTTATTAAGGTCCAAGGGACATACAGAACAGGAAGAGTCAGGACAAAGAAATTCTCCACATCCTGTAATAGATAAACAATACATTTACAAAAAAAAAAAAAAGGATATTGAAATCTTCAAGAGAAAGATATCAAGTCACTACAAAAGCAGGCCTATCAAAAGAAAAACAGGTTTTTTTTTTTCAGTGATGACTATAAAAGCCAGCAGAAAAGAGACCAAAGTACTACAGATTTTGAAAGACAGGAGATATCAGACCAGAATAATACTATTCTTGGCAAAGGTATCCATTGTAATTGAAGAAAAGATAGGAAACTTTCCGTAATGACAGAATTAAGAAATTTATTATTATAAGGCAAGCTCCACAGATGATACTGGAAAGAATATTTATAACTGAAGAGACAGTTAAATATGTCCAATAATCACATGAAAAAAAAAACAATTCTAGAATACTAAAGCAAATGAGGTCTAATAAAACACCACAAAGGAAATAAAATGATAGGATTACTACACACTTTTCACTAGTAACTCTTAATATTAATAGTCTCAAATCCCTAATACAATCTTATAGAGTAAGAGATTGGATCAGAACACAGGGTCCATCTTTTTGATACCTGCAAATTACACACCTTATACCAATAATAGAAAAGCCTGCAGAATAAATTATGGAAAATGATAGTTCAAGTAAATGGAACTATGAAAGAAGCAGTCACAGCTATTGTGATATCTGATAAAGTAGTTTTCAAATCAAAATAGCCAGAGGAGTTAGGAAAGGACATTTCATAGTCATTAAAGGAAAAGTCCACTAAAAGAGTTACATGTCTAAACATTTATGCACCAAGCACAGGATACGTATTTCGCAAAAGAAGTACTACCAGATCCTAAACTACAAATTGATCTCAAAACAAAACTAGTGGCCATCTTTAATTCCATACTTTCTCCAATAGACAGATCATCCAGATAAAAACTAACTAGAGAAATCCTGGATTTAAATGGCATAATAAATCAAATAGATCTAAAAGACATTTAAAAAGCATTCTACCCAAACCTGAAATAATACACTTTTTGTTCTCATTGCACAATGGAACTTTCTCAAAAATCAACTTCATATTAAAATGAAAAGCAAGACTTAACAAATATAGGAAACATGAAATAACATCATTCATTCTATCTGACCACAAGTGAATATAGCTGGTTATTAACAATGCCAGAAACTATACACAGTAAACAAACTTATGAAAATTAACAGCATACTAATAAATGGAAATTGGCCAAAGCAAGAAATCAGAAAGTAAATTTGAAAATTCCTAGAATTATTAGAAATTAAAACATGAAATACCAAAAATATGGGACACAAAGAATTTAATCCTAAAAAGTTAATAGTGCCTACCATCTAAAAAGAAAAATCTTGAGAGCTATCACTCAAAAACTGAATAATGTACCCAAAGGCATTTTAAAGTAATTAAATAAGAAAAAACACCTCAAAATAGTGGATGGGCAGGAAAAAAATCAGAAAAATATATAAGAAAGAAAAACCCCACAATGAATCAATGAAGCAAGGGTCATTGTAAAACTTTGGCAAATTTTTAGCCAAGTGAATCAACCAAAAGAAAGACAGAGAAAATAAAACCAGAGACTAAGAGAAAGCATTTCAATACGTATTGATGACATTCAGAGAATAAGTACACACTTTAAAAAGTATCCATAGATTCATTGGGAACCCTTAGGCCACTCTGACTAGATAAACAAGATAACTAACCTGAGATACCCATTACTCCCTCAACTCTTCCAAAGCAATCCTAGTCTTTTTCCTAGCTTGTTACAAAAGACCTTCAGCAGCTTCCTAACTCCCTGCTCCTGAGTGGGTCACAGAGATCTTGTTCTCCCAACTTCCTTTCTCACCCATTGTTTATCCCACCTCCAAATTCAAATACACATTCTGTATAAAGCCATAGACCACTCAGGCCAACAATGCAGGGAGTTCTTAGTTGAACACCCTGCTTTCCTCCCTTCTGGGGATCCACTTTGCCTCTCCTCTCTTCTAGCCCAACCCCATTCCTAAATGTCAGCTCTCAATATGCAGAAACACATTTTACCAGTGACTTCACTTAGCAGGATCCCAAAAGAATTTCCCTACTTGCCGGGCGGTGGTGGCGCACGCCTTTAATCCCAGCACTCGGGAGGCAGAGCTAGGTGGATCTCTGTGAGTTCCAGGCCAGCCTGGGCTACCAAGTGGGTTCCAGAGAAACCCTGTCTTGAAAAAAAAAAAAATCAAAAAAAAAAAAAAAAAGAAGAATTTCCCTACCAGCCAACACATAGCCATCACACTCTCCTAAGAAGCAGGCATAACAGAAATCAGGAAGCAAAACACCCAACAAAAAACAAAACCAGATACCAGCACCTAGAATTCTAATCTTCCCAATCCCAAATGCATAGATGCCAGCATAAAATCATAATCAATAACATCCAATAACATCCAGGACAATATATCCCCAGCACAGCTCAGCCACCCTCCCAGAGCAAGTCCCGAATATAGAAACATAGTTGAAGCACAGAAAAAAAGACCTAAAAACAGCCTTTGTGAAAATGATAGAGGTCATTAAAGATCAAATGAATAAATCCCTTAAAGAAACTATGAAAACACAAATGAACAGTGGAAAGAGATGAATAACACAGGTCAAGAACTGAAAGTGAAAATAGAAATAAAGAAATCTCAACTGAGGAAATCTGGAAATGAAAAATTTAGGAACTTGAAAAACAACAGAGGCAAGCCTCACCAACAGAATTGCAAAGGTGGAAAGAAGAAGTTCATTCATTGAAGACACATCTTTTTTAAAAATGTTAAATCTAAAAATAATCATGGCATAAAATATCCAAGAAATCTGTGACACAATAATAAGACCAAATCTAAGACTAGAGGAAGAAAATTGTTCCATGCTAAAGGCACAGAAAATAATTTCAACAAAATCATAGAAGAAAATTTTCTTAACCTAAAGAAGGAGATGCCTA